CTCCTCCGCCCTGGCTCATCATCGACCGGACTTACGGCCTCATGGCCTCCCGCTCGTTTCCCGACGAGGCGGAGTCGGAATCCAAGGTTCCCAACTCCTGCAAGTCACCACGCTGCTTGAGGTAGATGTTGTACAAATTGCCCTCCTTGTAGAGCTTCAGCATGCCACGCTCACCATTGACCTCGATGAGCTGCCGAAGAAACGCCCTCGTTGCCTGGGCCATGCTGGGGATCAGCCAACCTCCATCATCGAAGATGTAGGCATCATGGGTGGCACTGAACTCACCTGCAGATCCAAGCGGCTTGTGGACATGGGTGACTGTCGCTTTGAACCCACGTCGATGCCCTTGCTCATCGATGCAAGGCACCCTCACCCTGCCGTACCTTGGGATCTTCTCGCCATTCGCCACCCTGTAGTTCCCGACACGGCGAAGATTCAAGCCCTGGGCCACGGCCATCTCGATGGAGATCACGGTGCTAACAGCTCCTGAATCATAGTTCAACTTCAACCATTCGTCGCCCTCCACACTGCAAAGTTAGGTGGGCGATCCATCCTCGTGCTCGGTGTTCATGCTGTTGTGGTCCACGTCCTCATGCACTGACGCTGACTCCTGGGCTGGTTCTCCTCCTCGAGATCTGCTCCTTGGTCGACTGTCGTCTCCACTGCGGCTCAATCCAGGCGGGATCGATGGGGTCCAATCAGGGGCCATCGAAAAGTCAACTCCGACTGGTCGGTCCCGACTCTGGCTAGCTCTGATGGATGGGACACCCGTGAAGACTCGCCTCCTCGGCCTCTGACTTGAAGCCTCCGCTGTCTCCTCCTCAGCATCCTCACGCTCTACCTCAACGGCCTCTGAACTGGGCGCCGCCTGATCTCCTGTCGCTCCACCAACATCTGAAAAGAGCGCATCCTCCTCTCGCTCCTCATCTGCACGAAGTGGGGAGTAGACCTGAAAATGCTCACCTTCTCCATCGCCAATGGCCGAAAGGTCCAAGTGCGACAACTCCGGCTCCTTCTCAGGCCGCTGAGGTGGCTGGCGTCCATCTTCAACTGAATTGGCTGAGCCGCCCTTGCCTTTGCCCTTCTTGAAGCCTCCATCAAACTTACCTTTCTGGCCTCTCTTGCCCTTACCTTTGCCGGTGTTGCTCCAGCAATCTTTTCCATAGTGTCCATACTTCATGCACACCCAACACTGCACATTGTCCATCCTCTTGCTCTTCGGTGGATCTCCTTTGTTGGACGTCTTGCCTCCTCCTTTACTTCAGCATTCTGATGCCTTGTGCCCCAACTTGCCACAGGCGTGGCACGTCATCTTGTCGGCGTCGTTGCCAGCCTTGCCACCTTTGCCCTTGCCGCCTTTTGTCAATGCTCCCAACTCCATAGGATCATCCTTCTGACCTTTGTTGCGGCTGGATCCAAGTTCCCTCCGACTGAGATTGAGGGAATGCCTAGTCGTGGCGTAGCTGCTCAACTTGTCGAAGAAGCTCTCGAAGTCGCTGTATTCATCTGCTCTCAACATGAAGGTCTCCTCGAGCGACTCCGGCATCAACCTGCACAACCCGGCAATCAATGAATCATCCGACACAACACAAGGATTGCCTGCATTGTCTGTAAACTCTTCATATTGCTTCTTCTTTGCCAACCAATGCTCAAGCGAACTTCCCAACTCTTCAACCGACTTGCACTTGCTGGGATTTTGAACCATGCTCAAAATTGTAACTCGTCGCATTGAGCTTGTGGGGTCATACTCATTGATCAACCTCCTCCAGGCCTCAAGACTGTCTGTACCTGAATTGCGGACCACTCTGTTGGCATCACCTGTTGTAAATGAAGTCAAATAGGCTCCAAGACCTTCATCTGTAGCGCTCCCAAACACGTCATTCCAAGTCACCACCTTCGTCTCTCCAAAGTGGGCCTCCTTGACAATGGTCTTGCGCTGCTTGCCAGCCCATGACAACACAACTTCAACATCTCCACTGAACTTGACCTTGGCAAAGGTCTTGAACTTGTAAACCCACTCCGAAAAATCCTGGTCGCTCTTACCAGAAAATTTGAAGGGCTGTCCAACACCTTTTGTATCAACCAACTCACTCTTCTGCGATCCGGCCAGCCTCAATGCAATGCTTCTCTCTTCTTCAGCTCTTGCAGCTCGACCGAACGCGTCCTGCAGCTGGTGTTGGAGCTGCATCATCTGTTGCTGATGGCTCAACAACATTTCCTGCCGTACTTGGATCTGAGCTTGCAGATCCAACAACCGGTCCATCCCCTGTGCACTGGGCGACCCCATCTAAACTCAACCTCAAGCAACTTGGTACACCTTCTCGATTTGTGTCCCTCGGATCTTAGGGACTGCGCGCTACCATGATGAGAGGATATGCTCGAACGGACCGAGCGGGCTGTTGTTTTGGGCCGCTATGCTTCAGATTTCAAACAGAGTTTGATGGTGTGTATATATATATATATATGGTGGTTGTCCAATATTCTTGTTTATTGAAACGGCCATTCTTCGCGAAAAAACATTAACATTCGCAAAACGTTCGCGAACCCTGTGTTTTTCTTTCGCGGGGGTTCACCATGTCATGAAACCATTTAACCTGGTAGGGACTCGATTTCCAAATACAAGTGCACGGAGTGTTTTTGGTTCAGCAGGAGGATGCTACAGACAGGAACGTGGTGTTGGAGCAGAATTTCGTTGGCACATGTTGTTAGAGAAAGCATTTGCACAAGGACGTTGGATGATGAAGTTTGTGGGGTTGCTATGGGCTACGGGGTTCCTCTGGAGCCGATTCATTCGCCGAAACCTTCTCCAGACCTTTCGCGAAACTTTGGCGAAAAAAAAACCTGTGCTTTGGAGGTTTTTACGGCATACATAACATAGGGTGGACTACATGAAACAGGAAGGAAGCTTCACACGGATTCCAAAGTTGAAGCTGCTGAAAAAACATACTTTCGCGAATCTTTCGCGAAAAAAAACATTAACATTCGCGAACTCGAAAAAATACTTTCGCGAGACCCACCACGGCGTTCACACGAAGTTAGGCCCTACATGGCGTTGTCAGAGCGCTCAGAGCAGAGAAGTGTTTGGAATGGGTGTAGCAGCATCGGCAGGTGCCTGGATGGGAATCTCCTCAGGAAAAAGATGTGGTGGACCAGTTTATTTCTAATGGGTGCATTGCGGTGCAGGACTTTGTGGGCCTTGGAGTGCAGAGTTTGTGGCAGGCGCAGGACTTTTTGTGGGCCTTGAAGTGCAGATTTCGTGGCAGGTGTAGTACTTTGTGGCGCTTGGAGTGCAGATTTTGTGGCAGGCGCAAGACTTTGTGGACCTTGAAGTGCAGATTTCGTGGCAGGTGCAGTACTTT